ATGTACCGGGAAGTTGCTACAGTTGAACCTGTCTAAGACGACCACTCAAGGGACCGACAAAAAGTGGTTGTCTTGGACATGTGCAGACCATAGACCGGTTCTTACACAGGGACGTTACTCAAATGCGAAAAATTTGGGGATATTTTTGGTTGGTCGCCAAAAGCTGGTGATCGCCATAGCAGGTTGGACCGTACTATGGTCTTAATAATTACGAGGCACCCAAGCACAACTTGATGAGGCTTCAGCGTGGTTGGCTTAAATAGACTACTATTCAACATGGACTATTACCGAGTTATTCAGATGCGCCACCAATCTGTCTACATTTCGAGCCCGAAAGACGCCCGCATTCGACGGAAAGGAAGCTGAGCGTGGGGCGCTAGGTTTTTTGAAGCGCAGTGGGTTGAATACAAAAGAAGCGATCAACAAGTGCGTTGCAACGAGACTGGACCTTAACCTGGTGCGACGGTATGGGTACCTCATTGACCCATTGAGCTATACTGGGTGATGCCTCCGGACACCTTGAGAGCTACTCCTACCACGTTGGTCAGTGGTGACAGATCAGACAAACTCAGTCACTTAGTCCTCCAGGTTGGGGGTTGAAATGGGATGGCGTCTATTTCTGTAAAACTAAATCGTTGCCGCCTCCCGCCACCTTGCGGACAAGCTTTTGAGCCAAGGGCTTTGGATGAGGACCGTAATCGTCCTCCTGTCTAGGTCTGGGCGCCCTGGCAGTATCTCAGCGCACATACAACCATGACATTTTCTTCAATCATAAACTTCATCTTGTATCGGCCGTCGCGCAGGTTATCAAGAGTCGCCTTATCTGCTGCATATAGCAGGGCGGATAAGCGAAAACATGCTACTGCTGGCACCTCCCTTCTTTCTTTTCCACCTTTTTCTCTTACTCCCATCCAGACCCCCATTACTAACCTTCCTTCTATAATTCCCAGCTTAATTGACAGCAACCGAAGTGCCACTGGAGTAGAACTATCTGCAGCCACCATCCCACCGCACCTATCGGACTCCTATCAGCCAAAATCCCCTGTAAGGCCACGCTGTCCCGTTTTCATAGTGCCGTTCAACATTCGCACTTTAAGACAAACAGGTCAACAGGCTGCACTCGCACGCACCTTGGACACACTCGGTATTGATGTGTGTTGTGTGTCCGAAACTAGGATCAATTAACCTAACGGGGTTATTGAATTAACTGCACCAGGTTTATCCTCTCGTTATTGGTTACACGCATCCGGAGACGCCGATGCAGCACTCATGGGTCAAGTTGGTGTAGGTATCATTCTAAGCTCTAAGACTGCGCCATCGTTGGATTCCGGTGAACAGCCGTATATATGCAGCCCGTTTGACGACATCATCATTCCTCATCATTATACACATCAGCTAGAGATGGGAAAACACCTCCGCTATTGTGCCGCAATACATGAAAGAAATACATACATACATATAACACAATACACAAAGGAAAAATAGATACAACAGTTGCATGCCAGCTGAGCTACCAGCAACGGATAGGCATCGTTCCTGTAAGCTTCCAGCCAGCTACTAGGCAAAAAGGAAAATATTTTTTATTAGGTTTTACCCCAGGAAATGAGATCGTAGATGGAGGGGGAGACTAAAAGGGACGGGGAGGGACAAAGAAACTCACAGCACAAACGCCACTGAGGTCGGCTCCTTGCCATGTCAGCAAGTGTATCCAGCCAAACGTGTTCACCGTCTTTTGGACCCCAACCAGGGAGCCGTGAGGCTCCAACCGAGGCTAGCTCCGAAGTGATGGACTTCATTCCTCTGGACCAAGTCATCGCTTGGCTACCTCTCCTCTTCTTCCACCCACATCCCCAGTAAGCAAACAACGCACGTCGCGGGAGTCGGTGGGCTGGCATGCGTAACACGTGGCCTAGCCATCGGAGCCTGGTGCGGGAAATAACGGTGCTTAGGGATTCAGATCCTTTTCCTGGCCGTAAACACTGCGTCGAACACGCTCGTTACTCACGCGGTGTTCCCACCATATGTGAGCCAAACTGCGAAGGCACCGATGGTCGAAAGTAACTAGCCTGTGAATCAACCTTATTTTGACGACATCAGGTAAGGTTGATTCACGAATTAGTAAAAAATGCTGTTTGTTTGTGATTTCCGTTTACTCTCCCACCGACTGCAGTCCAAATGCTGTCAAGGACACATTCTATCACGAGGTGAACGCGCTACTACGCAGTGCTACTAGTTCAGATAGTATAATATTTGCAGGGGATATGAAGGCACAACTAGGGCGTCTGAGTTCTTCAGAAGCTCAGCTACGTAGTAACTATGGGTATACCTCTGAACGAACTGACAGCAGCGAGCGTCTGCTGCAAATGTGTGTAGAGCACCAGTTTTTCTTACTAGCACTGCTTTTAGGCACTGTGAGCGCCGAAGGGCCACTTGGCGTCCTCCTGTAGCTGGCCAGCGATGGACCCAAAGTGATCACATAGCCGTAAGTTTCAGATGGCGTGGTTCCATCCTGGATTACCTCTCGTACTGCAGTACCTGTGTCGACTCTGATCATGCCTCGGTATGCTGTGATTTATCATTGAACTTTACCGGGAGGCGCACCAAGCGTCTCCTCCAATTGGCAACTGAGAAATTGTCCCAGCCCTCGGTCAGGCAAGCCTATCATGACGCACCGCGTACCGAACATTCGCTGTCTAGTCCTAATGACACTGGCTTCAGTGGAATATGATCTCGGCCGCCATGCACGACACAGGAGCATCTGCTTGTGACACTATCCATCGTCACCACACCAGTCACTGGATATCCGAGAGGTCGGTAAACCTGTTCGAATCCAGCAAAAGCTCCCAGATGGCTCTGAACACCATGTGTCCAGATGGGCTTTTAGGCGTGAACTAAAGCAGAGCCTACGTGCTGACAAGGAAGCATGGTGGACAAGTAGGGCTCAAGAAATGGAGGAGGCAGGAGCAGTAGGCAATTACCGAAAGCCCTTCCAGCTAATCCGCACCACTGGTCCCAGAAAACCAGGCGTCAGTGAGACAATTAGAGAGAGCGCAGGTGCGCTGATACACAATACGGAGCGCCGTATAGCTCGTTAGACGGAACACGTTCAAGAGCAGTTCATATGGTCCCCTGCTCCCGGACCTCTTCCTACTAAGGTGATGCAGGACGAACCATGGACGGTTAGTTCAGAGCCTCCGTCTGATGCCGAGGTCCGAAACGTGATCACAGCCCTCAGTCGTTTTCGTGCCGCTGGCCCGGATTCCCTCGCACCGGCACTATTTAAGGATGGAGGTGAGGTCCCCTGCAAAGCACTGACCACCTTATTCGAATGTATCTGGAAGGAAGAGTGTCCCGGCTAATTGGAGCGAAGCGATTATAGGGGCAATATACAAGAAGGGCAGTCGCACAGACTGTTTTAACCACAGGGGTATTAGCCTAACGCCAGTTGTGGCAAACTTATTGGCCTCGATTCTCCTTCGTCGCTTCGCTGCTAAACGGCAATATAGGAGTAGGGAAGAGCAGGCCGGTTTCCGCCCAGGGTGTGGCTGTATAGACCATATAATCACTTTGCGGCAGGTGCTAGAGAAGTGCCGCGCATACCGCAGACCGACAATAGCTGTGTTACTCGACTTCAAGAGCGAATTCGATTCAGTCCATCGACGCGTTCTGTTCGAAATACTTGCGCGGAAAGGTGTTTCCACGAAATATGTAAACATGCTGCGTGCTCTATACTCGAACACTACAGGCCGAGTCAAGGTCTATGGTGGCCTAGCGGATAGCTTTCCGACCACAAGTGACGTTCATCAGGGTTGTCCGATTTCCTCATTTTTGTTCAATTTTGTAGTGGATTCTATCATGGAATGTTCCCTTGCGAAATCTAACGACGTAGGCGTTGAAGTGCTGCCTGATGCAAGACTAGTGGATCTTGATTAGGCGGACGACATCGTCATGATTTTCGATGATGTTGCAGCGGCCAAATCAACCCTGAATAGCCTGTCTAGAGTGGTCCCATTATTTGGTATGCACTTCACAACTTCAAAGTGCAAAGTGTTGCTGCAGGACCGCCAGCCACTCGATGACCCCTTGACGCTTGCTAACGAGGAACTTGGCGTAGTTGATCAATTCACTTATCTTGGCAGCTGCATCAGCAACGATGGGCGCATAGGAACTGACGTCAGCTCACGCATTGCAAAGGCCAGAACTACCTTCTTGAACCTGCGGCATCTTTGGTAACAGAAGGGAGTTTCCCTCCGTCTGAAAGGCCGTGTATACATGGCCACAGTGAGGGTCGTTCTGCTCTGTGGTAGTGAGATTTGGCCGCTTCGGTCGGAAGTTCTGAGGCGCCTTCAAGTCTTTGATCAGCGTTGTCTGCGAAGCCTTACTGGCGTCTGATGACACCGGCGTGTCCGCAACGATGATGTGCGTATGTGAGTGTTAGGTAGTGATAAACTTGCTAGCTCCCGAGAACAACAGATAGCACAGAATAATTTGCGTTGGCTCGGGCACGTGCAACGTATGCCTGGTCACCGCTTACCTAGGAGGGCCTTGTTTAGTCTGCCAAGTGTAGGGTGGCACAAGGCCCGAGGTGGACAGAAGTTGACTTAGCAGCGGGAAATTGGAGGTCGTTGGTCCGTCTCGCCTTCCGGGTTAGAGTCCACGTGACTCACCTTGTGCTTGACTCGAGACTTTACAGGATATGGCCCGCAACCGATACCAGTGGAGCGTGTGCTGCCGTCTCCTAATCGGATTGCCTTTTTAAAGTGTGTTTGGTGCTCAGTTATCTGCGAGGTAATGGCTGAAAATGACGCATGGCAGTGAAAGCCGCAAGGAAGCTGTCTCGCCGATGCCGCATTAGGTTTGCATGACAGCCAGCTGTTTGTGACGGAATGTTGTCTGTACAAGGTGTAGGCGCCTTGACCCTAAATGTTTGCATAGGGCATTAAGGTTTTCAAGTAAGTCCCCCTTCTCTCCATCGCACTATTCTTTATTCATAGGTCCCCATGGTTGTATGGCAGCGCTGCAGCAGTTCAAACGGTTGGTGCACTGCTGTTGCTGATGATGATGATGATGATGACGATGATGATGATGATGATGATGATGATGATGATGATGATGATGATGATGATGATGATGATGATGATGATGATGATGATGATGATGATGATGATGATGATGATGATGATGATGATGATGATGATGATGATGATGATGATGATGATGATGATGATGATGATGATGATGATGATGATGATGATGATGATGATGATGATGATGATGATGATGATGATGATGATGATGATGATGATGATGATGATGATGATGATGATGATGATGATGATGATGATGATGATGATGATGATGATGATGATGATGATGATGATGATGATGATGATGATGATGATGATGATGATGATGATGATGATGATGATACTCTACAACTCGAGCAGGTGCAGGTGGTTCTCATCTTTGTTCCCTTTGCCCGTTGTCTCTTCGGTGCGCCTTCAGATTAACGATGCCTATGAATCCCTGTAACCTTGGTAGAAAAGCAACAACGTGACGCAATGAATCCCACAGGTTTGTACAACAAAGATTCCAGATGTTTGCACCTTCTTCTGTGACGGAAAAGTATGATGATCCTCAGCGATTCTAGTGAGTGTTGTCAAGGTGCACATAATCACTCTACAACAGGGCAGAAGACGTTAAGTGGTGGTTCACATGCATACGGACAAATACAGTGTTTGAGCCACAGCACCAACCTAACAGAAAAACAGTTGAATCCGGGTGCCCCTGGCAGTCGCCAAGGGTGATGTCGGAATTACCCTCCACTCAGGTCTGCAAACGCTGGAGTCTCTTACTAAGTCGAGTAGTTACTGCTATTATATGGCCGACCATAAACGGGAGTGCGCGCAAACCTCATCGTTCTATACTTCGCCGCGTAAACTGTGATAATTGGAGTGGACATTTCAACGTTTGCTGATTGAAACTGTCAGCCAAGTGAGTGTTGGTCACGCAGTACAAGCCAGTAAGCACCTTAATTTGGCGACGTATGATGTCAACCATAATCAGCTCATTCACCACGCCTGTAGTAGTCAGAGCACGCTTAATATGCATTTCTTTCGCCCGCAACACATCAGTGCCTTATCGTTTCACGGAAATCCGCCTTATCATTTGAACATACATGTCTGATTTCATCAGTTTTAATCTGACAACCCTACATCAGTTGCACAGCACTATATGTAATGTTTGTTAGAACAGATTGTTCCATAGTTTCAACTGACAATTGCCGTCTTAGTGGAATTTTACTACGCAGTGCTTCAGTTAATCTGTATAACAAACTGTCGACATTTGCTGGCTGAAATATTAGAAAGGTAGGATTGGATTGATACATGCTATTACATCGTTTTGCTATTTCCGGAAAGGAGCTGGTTGTCTTTTAGTTTTAAAAGGTTCCTTCTTTTTGTGCCATTAGCAGATCAGTGAGTTTTCGCTTCACTGGTTTCTGAAGACAAATTACGCGAATCTGATTCCATTCGTGTGTAGAGTTGAGTGACACACATCTAGACTGCACTACCAATTCTGTTGATAGTGATGGAAACTAATCCCACGTGGACCGTCATCTATGATGTTACGTTTTTACACCGATGATACTGGAGCAGATGGAAGCTAAATAAACGGCTGCGAGAATTTTTGCCTAGTAGTGATTTCCATGGTGCACCCAATGATTATGCAAGAACCACTTGTGCCTGTGCCCTCGTCTATTCCTAATTTGGTGTACAGTAGATTTGTAATAGTATTTATTTTACAGTTCTACGATAGGGACATTTGCTGTGCTGGCTTTTAATAGCCTATACCTAGAACCTTACCATGAAGGTCCAGTGGCGATTACCTCCCCGAACAGAAACAATTCCGCCTACATTTTTTATGGCTTTGCTTTGTCTGGATACCCGTCCCTCGTGCTGTGTTGTTGCAGCCTATACAATATGTCTTGGTCAAATTATGCCGGGTCATTTATCCCCTAATGCCGCATTATGTGTAACAGGTCATTGGAAGATTTTTCGATGAACCTTGTGGAACTTGTTCCTTCTCACCCCATTGGCCTTTTTATCTCCAGCTGCACTTAGTACCGCAGTCTTGACTGACACCAGTGTATAAATGAGTATAATGCCTTCCTAAAAACAGTCAAGTTGAAGACGTATTGTGCATTGGATCATTTCATCTGCAGAAAGTGTTGTCTTCGCCCTGCGGCTGCGCTACTAACCCCGTAGTGAATCAGAGGATATGAGCTCACCTGACTGTGTTGTCACAGTATTCAGTAGCTCGGTTGGTCTTAGGCTATCCCAAGAGCTGGTTCGCGAAAGAAAATTTGTAAACATTTTACACTCGTTTCCACCATAAGCTTCCCGCATTGGATCCGTCATGTACATGTAACGCCTTCCATGCTGGCGCATGATAACATAATTCATTCCACAGTTAAGCCTAATTAATAATACGACTGACAACCCCGGGGAAAACTGAGTACCAGGAATTGTCAGCTTAAGAGCTAAGGAAAATGAAAGCAGACAGTCACCTTTCCTGTTGGTTTGACTAATATCCTAGCATCCGGTCACATTGTGATGTTGTGTCTGAGGTGCGTTAAATGCACCCAGAGATTGTCAGTGCAGCCTACAACCTCAGTTCATACATGCAAGTAAGAAGTATTTCATTCACCTGCCACCGATATCTGACTAGCACTCATTAATATTAAATAGGTGGATAATTTTGCGCCAAAGCAGCAGAGGAAGGAAACCGGACTGCAAGCTTGCTCCATCACAAAAGTTACGTTTGCTACTTTTCCAAAAACAGAAAGTTCTGTCCAAAAGACTGCAGTTGAGGCAAGGGTGTCTGTTGAGAAGGCACCCGGTCATTGATCGGACCGAGTTAAGCTACGCATTCGGTCATGATGCTGAGATCTTGCTGCCGACATTGCAACTACAAGGAATCTTCGGCAAACGTCGTAACGCAGCGACACGCAACCAAACCAGAATAATACGGAATCGACGGAAGTGACAAGGGTTTTCCCTCCTGCTGTCTACAAATCAAGAAACTCAATGGTACTAGAAGGTGAACTCCATATAGTTGTCAACAGTCTGCAGTAGACTGGACTGAACAACGAATACTAATTTATGAAGGGCATAAAGTGATTGCTTAACAAGCCCCAAAAAATGACCAGAGTGAGGAGTATGAATACAAAAGTAAAAAACAACATGCAAAATTAGGGACATTCAGATATTAAGCGACTCATCAACCTATTCACATGAATATTGATGTACCTTACTTACCGCTATTCTATACAAACGGCTGGCGGGCACCAAGTTTGGTGCACGTTATTTCCTTCTCAGATGGAGACGGACTATCTCACGTAATGCAAGTGGCATAGTGTGTCGTCCAGGTTCTTTTTGTAAAGTGTTTATGGCCCAAATGAGGTAAGTTGGAAGCGTGTTCCCTTTCTGAAATCCTGAAGGGAGAAAATGATTTTTGACGATCAGGTCAATTGTACTGCATAGACAATTTGGGATGGTGGTCCCGCAGTTCAGCACTGTGGCTGAGTTGCAACAAAATCGGACAGGCGTGATTTTGGTTTGTCAGTATTAGCTACACTACGATGATGTCTCTGCACAGACGTCAATATCCAATGCAGTAAAATTTCAGGGCTTGCAGTTTGTGTTAACAGAAGTGGTGAAACATACCCATTATGAATTTGGTGACGCTATTTTGTGGCAATTAAGCGCATCAATATCGTGTTTGCTCCAGGGACCTCAGGCCTGGATCACGTACTCCACGTGGGGTCGCACGTGGGCCTTCAGCGCTTGCGGAAAGATAGGCGGCTCCAACATTCCGAGCGCCCTTCGAAGAAGTTCAAAATGCTGACTGGATCTTTGCCATTTGCTTTCAGCTTGCCTAGAGCATCCAACGTTTTCTTGTAGGAACACTCTGAGATCGCTTTCCTGTGTAGCGTATTGCAGCTGCTGCTCTCCTAGTCGATATTCTTGGGTACACTAATGGCAGATCCTCAAAAATTTGTATTTCGCCGAGTTAAACTGGGTCCAGTTTACGCGTGACCAGGTATAAGCTGAGTCGAAGTCCCTTTGTAGTAGTGCATGCTCGTCCACCGTCTTGATGTCATGCATGATCATTGTATCGTCTGCAAATAGCAGGAAGTCCAACTGAAGCTCGCTAGTTACTTTGTTAATGAATACTAGGAACATACGTCGTCCCAATACCGATCGTTGTGGTTAACCTTACTGGACGTCAGTTGGGTCCGAGATGGACCTGCAGCCTCTGACGTTCAACTGATGTTGAATGATGAAGTTAGTTGCCTGACCCGGCAGAGTATCGTTGATTCCATAGCTTCGAAGTTTGTGAAGTAAATTGCGTTGGTCCAGGATATCGAACGCCTTGGAGCAATCCGCGTAGATGACGTCGACTTCTGCACCGGCATCCAGTGATTCTGTCGAGCTTGTTCGGGCTAGAAGCAAGTTTGTAGAGCAAGACCGATTTCGGTGGAATCCGCGTTTCTGTGACACTGACGTTGCCCTCAAGATATACCATGAGGTCCTCTACGATTATGAATTAATTTGGATAACACAAAGAGGAGTGTGATGGGACGGTAGTTCTAGGGCTGCACACGATTTCCACTAAGGTAACCAGGAGTAACTATCCTATGTTTCCACCTGGTGGGAAAATATATCTCATCAAAACATCCTTGACGGAACCGAGCTACCGATTTGTCGATATTCAAGGTGACCGTCTTTAATAACTTTATATTGCAACGAAAAGGAAGCGGGAGGGGTGGCAGAGCGTGTATTGCGATAACAATGCGCAAACAGAGCACTCACAAACTCGTACGGATATGGACCATGTTTCCCTCCCACGATACACCTCAGATGAAGATTTATGTGACGGGTCATTCCATGTGCCTACTAGCTTTAGTCTTGGAACAATCACCCCATGTTTTCAGCACGTATCTCCGCTTCCCTATATCCGATTCTGGCCAGCCAGGAGTCGTTCGAAGCCACGCCATTTGCTTTCCTCTGATTAAATCAATCAACCCGCATTCAGTCCTGTGGGCTTCACTAGGGGCGTATTTGCCTGGTTCACTGCGTCCTCGACACATGCCTCCTCCGCAATTCTGGACCGAGGCTCGTTGCTGGACGTCGTTTGTGATCGGCTCTCGGCTCGATCTGCAAGGCTCGCACTGCCTTATCTCCTCTCATCCATTGCGCCCGTTAGTAATTCTCTATTAACCGATTTATGTTATCTTTCCGGTTTCCGAATAATTGTTGGCTTCCGCACTCTACAAAATATCGTCCACCCCAGGAGAGCTGTGCACTATTATTTACAGGAGTCGTTTCGTCATATTTGCTGCCGTGAACGATGCGTGACTTAACTCTGGGGATGGTGGGAGCTATGTCAAAAGCAGGCGAGGTGACGATTCACTCTGAGAAGTGCGGATTAAGTGTTACTGCCCTTT